AATTTATTTATTTTATATTGATTCTAAAGGTATGCATTATTTCTGGTTTAAGAATATTTAAGATCTCTTCCTAAGTAATTTGAGCTTCCTATTGAATTTGACCTTCTGCATTAAATAATTAAAATCCCTCTTTTGGTTTTTCATCTTTTACTTACTATTTAATGCTCATTTTAAATTCAATTAGAGTTGCATCCATTCCTTTAACTTCATCAAATAATTAAACAAAAAATGTCTCCTTTTCATTTTCTATAGTAAGTATTTCTTCACTTGCTAGACTTCCTCTAAATACATGATTATCTTTAAATAACACAATACTTAATCCTGAAAATTCCATTCTATCATGTAGAGTCTTTCTAAAATCATGAGAGAATTTATCACTTAAAGTACAAATAGCTCTCATATTTAGAGGAATTTGACCATTCTCATAAAAAGTTGATTTTAATATTGATGTCTTAGGTGTAGTAACACTTAATCCTGTATTTTCTAATTAAATTTACAATTAATATTTTTCTCCATCTATATAAGTCAATTAAATAAAATCTATAATGAATTAAGTTTCTAAAAATTAAAAATCTATAGGTTATGGTTTTTTTATTCCATTAACTTTTGGTTATGGAACAGCTATAGGACTAGAAGGTTCTTTCACTTCAATTTCATTTTAATATAACCAATCAATATATTTCCAAAAAGCAATTTCTGTACAGACTTTTTATCCATCCTAATTTTCAACATTGTTATAATCACCAATCTAATTCATAATAGCTACTGCATCAAGTAATGTACAATTTAATCCTAATTCCTAAAATATTTCCATTATATTTTAAGCTCTCAATTCCTATTAAAATTCCCTATTATTTATATAATCATCCATTTGTTATTTATTGTTACGTATCCAAATTTGCATATTTTTTTCAATAATTTAAGCTAATTAAAAGATTGGAGCATAGATTTTTGATATTTCTCCTTGTACTTCAAATTATCTTAAATAATCTACTAAATCTGAGATTTGTATTTAATCATCACTATTAACTTCCAATGTTTCAAATACAGAATTGATAGTAATAGCTGAGAAAGAAGGTCCTGAAGGTATGTTACCACCTTTACAACTTAATAAATATTCTTTAAGTTATTATCTATGTACTAATCCAAATGCTCCATGTGGTAAATCTCGTTCAAAAGCATTAATACTTGGAAATATTTTTAAAGCTTATTAATAAAAATTAGCATAAATTTTTGTATAATTTAATTTTAATTATTTCTTATAATTAGTAAATGCTTACCAACTTTATAAAAATATATGCCAATCTAAAGTTGATTAATCAAATTATAAATATTGAGAAAGGGAAGTAATCATTCTTTTATTAAAATTTAATCCACAAAGTTATAAAACAATATCTATAAATTCATCAATTAATATGAATTATTCTTTAGGTAAAATACGAATAGTTTAACTAATTTTATTTAGAGTTGTGATTAGACATTCTTATAATGGAATCTTTTCATAAACTAATGGCTATTCTATTTATGGAGGTTCAGGTTATTTCTCAGGTTCATTAATATTGTCAATAGGAGCTTCTTCTGGTTCTTCATCAATAGATTCATCAACATAAGTTATTTCAGAATTAATAAGTTTATTTATTTAAGGATTTGTTCCGAAAGCTAATTTTAATTTAATTATTGCCATTGTTTATTTAGTTCTTAAATCTTCAAATGGTATATCTTCATCAAATAGTATTTATGGTGAGAGATTGCTTCTGAGAGTTTAAATAACAACTAATGGATTTGAATTAAGTATTAGAGCACTTATAGCTGATAATGATAATCTAGCTATTCCAACTAAAATATCCTAATTTGTTTAAGTATGTTTAGCCCATAATTCAAGAATCCAGGGAAAATTCTCCATCTTATTTAATGATGTTATTGTAATAGGACATCTAACATTATAATTAATAAACCATTTAGATGTATTCCAATTTGTTGGAGTTTAATTAATTTCTTAAGTTCCATATGATTTAAATTTTAAATATAAATTGATTTACTCATCTTCGATTTTCTCTTAACATAGTACTTAATTTAAATGTATCAATTTTCCTATATTTAAATATAATTAGAATGATTAAAGTTAAGAAATCAATTATTGATTCATTTCTTCTTCCTATTATTATTTTAATTATCTTTTTCTATCTTTTTCCTTTTGATTTTATTCAGTAACTTTTTCATAAATCTTCTAGACTTATTCTTCAATATCAATTTCCTTTTTAGGAGATTATTCAATTTATTGACTCCTAGCATCAATATCTTACAATTAGATTTCGAATTCTAATTATCCTGTTTCTATTAATTTATCAACTTTTCCCTTCTTATTGTTTTTTTTTTATACTTATGCTAATTATTAGATTGGAATTTAATAAGTAAAACATCTAAGTCCATCTAGAATCATTGTTGAAAGTAAAAATTCAGCTTTTCCAATCTCTACATCTAATGAAAATACTTGAAAATAGATAACAGCTTAATTTATTTATCCTAAACTATTTTCTGTCAATTAGAAATTAGATCTAAATTATGCATTAAACATTAATGATTTTCCATTTTTTCCTATATCATATGTCTAATGTATTTGATATTCAATAGTATTATTTCTTATCATTGGTAATTTTACATTCAATTTAATTGATTTATCTTAAAATTATTTCGAATTCAAATTCAATGATTTTAATGAAATTTGTAAATATTTTACATTCCTCGTATTTAAAGTCCCTAATTCATTCACATTTACATCATTTGGTTATTATTTACTTACCATATTGAAAGCTCTACAAAAATCATCTTCAAATTAAAGTTTCGAACATTCACTACAATCTGCCATTTGAATTTAAAAAATAAATAACTTATTATTATTAATATTAATTTAAAACATTTTAACAATGAATTAAAAAATAATATATATAAAGACATATAATTTCATTTCTATATAATCCAGTCTAAAGATTAAACATCTTATATAACAACTAATTTAACACCTAAATTATTAAATTTATTATAATACATAGATCAGTAATCTCAATAATTTCTAAGTTTCTTTAATAAAATTTAAGTCTCTATAATAATTTATCTTTTGCTCTTTAATTGAGAATCCCATATATGAAAAAATTCGTTGAGCATTCATAATTAATTATTCTTACATGAATTTACTTTGATAATATTGTTTCAAAAACTTCCATCAAAATTAAACAAAGTGAATCTCTTTACCCAAATATTGGAGTTCCTAATTATAAGTTTTCAAAAGATATTTGTTTCTATGGATATATTAATTTCAATTAATTAAACATTTTATCTATTTTTATCAATTTAATTGATTTGCTATTAATTTTCTCAAGTAAATAATGATATATTAATATCTTAAATATAGTATTTAGATTAGGAAATTAAAATTAACCAATTAATTTTAATTATAATAAAATACTTTTGATCAAGATTTTGTATTTGTATTAATACTTATTTTCTAAATCAGAATCTTTTTCTTAATTAATGAATTTAAATTACTAAACCTTTATTAATACTATTGGAGATGTTTCTTAAAGTATAGAGTAATAGACATCATGAACTTTCTTTTGATAATAAATAGTTAGTTTTTGATTCCATAATTAAATATTATCTTTTTTAATTTATTATACTTTTTTAAATAGAAAATCTTCTAAATTTATTTTCTAATCTTAATTCACCTTTGAATTTCTTAGGAATTATTTTAATTCATCAGTTGTCTCTATTGTATATATAAAATCAATTGACTTCTTAAAAATAAAAGAGCTTTAAAATTAATTAAAATTGAATATAATGCAGGGTTCAACAATCATATTTTAAAGAATTTCATCCCATTTATCATCAATTATTGTAAGCTAAAACTTAGATCTTTCAGCTGAAACATTCTCATAAAATGTGATTATAAGTAAAAACGTAAGTAAACATGTTGCAAGTGCTACTGAAACAGAAAAATTTGGTTAGTATAGTAGTAAACATATCAAATAAAATGAATAAAATGATACTACTTACACTAAAGCATCAATAAAATCTCCAGTCCTCATTACTATGAATTAAACTGAAACAATCAAAGCTGAAGAAAGTTAATAATGATATTGAGTTTACCCATAATCAGGATCAGAATAAATAAATAAAAGTATATAGTTCATAATCATCAAAGCCCATCTAATCAATTAGGGTTAACATTTTAGAATTATAATGAGGATTACATTACCAACAAAGTAACCAATCGTAAAATATACCTCTTTTAAACTAAAGTTTAATATAGAAGAAATTGATTTAGCTATAATTATAAGAAAAGTAGTAAAAATCACTTTTTATAGTAATGGCTTCCTCTTTTACTACAATTAAAACTCCTAATATTTTTATTCTAATATGTTGTCTTTGAATTATAAAGTATACTTATTTAACATAAGAAATTATAAATAATAAAATCGAAAGTTTAATTGCTTAAATTGCAAAATTGTAAAAAAATATATGATGAAATTATTTATTAGAACCTAAGAAGCGAATAAATTTTAATAATAAAAAAAATCTATATATTTTTATCAAAATTTTACCTATATAGATAATTTTTAACACATTTTTAATTTTTTAAAGTTAAGCACTATCAAATCCAAATAGTCAAAAACCAAAAAAAATAAAAACAATCATATATAATTCTTTATTGAAAATAAAAGGTATATTCTTTAAAATAAGTAAGGGATATAAACTATAGTTTAATCTGATTTAATATAAATATGGATATTTATATTAAATTAATTATATAAAATAGAGTGAGAGTAGACATTATTAAACTTGTTATATATTTTTCAATATTTATATTAGTGTTTATTATTAACATGAATTTTAAACATAGTATTTATTTGATTAACAAAGGCTATTTTATATTTCTTAAAATATATTAGTATATTGATAAACTGTTTTTATATTTATTATAAATAATTCAAATTTTCAAAGCAATGCAGTAGCCAAAATAATAATAGTTATCAGTATAGGCTCAAAAAGAAAGAGGTAGGATTGTATTGCATCTTAGATCGTTTAAAGGCTTAACGTGAAGGATAATTAAATAAAAAAGAACAGGCTTTGAATAAATTAAGTGATGAAGAAGTAGTCGCATAACTTAAAGCTAAAGGGTTAGGTGTATATGGAACAAAGCAAGAAAAACTAGAAAGATTAAAGAAGGCAAATGGTATTGATATTTTTAATCTTTTCAAAGGGATTGAAGTAAGCAAATGCGAATCGGCACCATAACAATAACAAGCACCTGTTTTCTAACCACCATAACCTCCAAAAGGCTCTGTGGTTGATAATATAAAGAAAATGGAATAATAAAGGGAGGAACGTAGAAAAAATATGTAAGAAATGAAGAGGGAAAAGGCTGAAAGAGAAGAGTATAATTAAATATTAGGTAAAAATGTTGATATAGAATTTGAATTGATGATTGATAAAAGCAGACTTAAAGGTGGATNTTATAAGAAAAGTAGTAAAAATCACTTTTTATAGTAATGGCTTCCTCTTTTACTACAATTAAAACTCCTAATATTTTTATTCTAATATGTTGTCTTTGAATTATAAAGTATACTTATTTAACATAAGAAATTATAAATAATAAAATCGAAAGTTTAATTGCTTAAATTGCAAAATTGTAAAAAAATATATGATGAAATTATTTATTAGAACCTAAGAAGCGAATAAATTTTAATAATAAAAAAAATCTATATATTTTTATCAAAATTTTACCTATATAGATAATTTTTAACACATTTTTAATTTTTTAAAGTTAAGCACTATCAAATCCAAATAGTCAAAAACCAAAAAAAATAAAAACAATCATATATAATTCTTTATTGAAAATAAAAGGTATATTCTTTAAAATAAGTAAGGGATATAAACTATAGTTTAATCTGATTTAATATAAATATGGATATTTATATTAAATTAATTATATAAAATAGAGTGAGAGTAGACATTATTAAACTTGTTATATATTTTTCAATATTTATATTAGTGTTTATTATTAACATGAATTTTAAACATAGTATTTATTTGATTAACAAAGGCTATTTTATATTTCTTAAAATATATTAGTATATTGATAAACTGTTTTTATATTTATTATAAATAATTCAAATTTTCAAAGCAATGCAGTAGCCAAAATAATAATAGTTATCAGTATAGGCTCAAAAAGAAAGAGGTAGGATTGTATTGCATCTTAGATCGTTTAAAGGCTTAACGTGAAGGATAATTAAATAAAAAAGAACAGGCTTTGAATAAATTAAGTGATGAAGAAGTAGTCGCATAACTTAAAGCTAAAGGGTTAGGTGTATATGGAACAAAGCAAGAAAAACTAGAAAGATTAAAGAAGGCAAATGGTATTGATATTTTTAATCTTTTCAAAGGGATTGAAGTAAGCAAATGCGAATCGGCACCATAACAATAACAAGCACCTGTTTTCTAACCACCATAACCTCCAAAAGGCTCTGTGGTTGATAATATAAAGAAAATGGAATAATAAAGGGAGGAACGTAGAAAAAATATGTAAGAAATGAAGAGGGAAAAGGCTGAAAGAGAAGAGTATAATTAAATATTAGGTAAAAATGTTGATATAGAATTTGAATTGATGATTGATAAAAGCAGACTTAAAGGTGGATTGATATAAGAGCATTAAACAACATAAAATATAAAATTATGTGTATGTGTTAGAAAGAGACCAATTTTTAAGAAGGAAGAAGTAGCTGGAGAAATAGATGCAATCAGTTGTGCTAATCCTATGATTCGAGTACATGAATCAAAATTAAAAGTAGATGGTATTACAAAATATGTTGAAAATCATGATTTTTAATTTGATAATACATTCAGTGAAGTAGAATAAGGAAAGGATATATATGATGTAAGTTTGGCACCATTAATGGAATTGTTAGTCAATTAAGGAGTAGTAACATGTTTTGCTTATGGATAAACAGGTTCTGGTAAAACATATACAATGAAGAGCATTCAAGAATTATTAGTAATAGATCTATACAAATTAATTAATGCTTCTCCATAATTCAAGATTGTTGTATCATTCTTTGAAATATATGGAGGAAAATGTTATGATTTATTGAATAATAAGGCACCTTTATAAATATTAGAAGATAAAAATAATAATATTTAAGTTTAAGGACTGATTGAAAGACCTTGTGAATCTGAAAATGAATTATTTTAACTTATGGAACTTGCAAACTCTGTTAGAACTACTCATGCAACTGTTGCAAATGATACATCATCAAGATCTCACTCTATTTGTCAAATTATGATAAGATAAGGCTATGCTGATATGGGAAAACTCATCTTAGTTGATTTAGCTGGATCAGAAAGAGCTTAAGATACTCAATCGAACAATCGATAAAGAAGGTTGGAAGGAGCTGAAATCAATAAAAGTCTTTTAGCATTGAAAGAGTGTATAAGAGCAATGGATTCCAGTTAAGGTCATGTACCATTTAGAGCTTCTAAATTAACTTTAGTTTTGAGAGACTCATTCACAGCTAAATCAAATAAATCTAGAATTATTATGATTGCATGTATTAGTCCAGGAAGCTCATCTGCCGATCATTCATTGAATACACTTAGATATGCTGATCGATTAAAAGATAAATCAAATTAAGCTAAAGTATAATTGGAAGAACGTGAAGTATCAAATGAAGAATTACTTTACAGACAGCAATAATAATATGCATATGATAATAAATCTTAAGAAAATAATAATAATAATAATAATAATAATAATAATAATAATAATAATAATAATAATAATAATAATAATAATAATAACAATAACAATAACAATAATAATAATAATAATTACAACAATAACAACAACAATAAATAATCATAATAAGATAAATAAAATACTCCTTTATAATTGCCTAAGATTAATGATGCTCGAAATTAGAATAATCAAAATGCTGCTAATTTAAAGAAAAACTAATCTCAAGGACCAGATAAAGAAAAACCAAAATCTCAACCTGTTCCACCTAAATAATCTAAAAGAATAAATTCAGTACAAGAAGATTCAGATGATGAAGTAGCTGCTGAAGAATTAGTTAACAAAAAAAATGGATAAGTAAAAGAAGATGTTAGATGTATGAAAGAAACTATGATGAAAAATGAATAAAATAATGCTAATGGAAATGGAAATGAATTTTTTGATTTTCATGAGAAAGTAAATACAATTTTAGAAGAATAAGATGAAATACTAAATATTCATATGGCTGCTATAAAAGTATAAATATTTTCTTATATTTTAATAGGAAGATGCAAAATTGTTGTAATAGGAAAGTGAATTGATTCAATCTATTTAAGGAGTAGGTATTGTAGATTATGATGTTGATACATATGTGGGAAATTTGGAATCCTTTATACGAAAGAAACTTAAAATCTATAATTTGTTAAACAAGAAATTGCAAGTGTTTAAGTACTTCCAAAATATTAATTAATATTAGAACTCACTTGAAAGAGGAAGAAGAGATCAGTTCAAAGATGAAGAATACATTCTATTATTGAACATAATACATATATTATATAAAATCTCAAACATACTGGTGTTAGCTAAATAAATTAAATTTTTTTTAGAATTCAAAACATGGAAGAGAAGAAAGTGTCATTAGATAAATAAGCCTAAAAAAAGCCAGGAAAATAGGTAGTATAATTGGTAATTATGAAAATAAAACATAATTTTAGTCAGAATAAGATCTTGAGTTGAAGAATAGATTGGAATAATATGTAGAAGAGATCATTTAAAATAATCCAGAAAGTTTAGAGAAATTAAAGACAGAGGTACGTTCAGCAACAACTTCAATGACTTCAGTACCAAAGCCATTCAAATTCTTAAAGGAATCTTATGGAAAATTGGTTGAGTTTTACAATGGATTGGAGACATCAAGATTTAAAGTATAAGTGTAGTATCTAAAATATAGAAATAATTGGCAGATTTTTTATCTGTTTTGGCAATGACTTATGGAGGTGATAGAGATTCATTGCTTTATCTATAGGAGGGAACATTAGAGGAATTCAAATTTTGGGGACATGAGTATCTAAGTCATTTAGCTGCTAATATTGGATCAGAATTCTAAATAAGGTTACAAAAGTAAGAGGGAGCTGATGATTTACTGTTTTTAGTAGATGAAATAATTCCATATTTTATGGATCATAATTCAGAACATGATGCTATTGATTTATTAAGTGAAGTGGATTAATTGTAAAAAATAGAATAAGTATTGACTTTATATCTTACAATTAGTTTGTGAATCAAGTAAATATATAAAGAGTTTTGGTTTACTTATTGAGTATAGTTCCATTTTGTTCAGATTAAGATGAATTAGATACATTACTTGTTACTGCCTTTAATATTTGTATGAAAGTTAACGAATACACAAATGCTTTGAGAATTGCATTACGTATAGATAAACCAGGAAAGGTTGAATAAGTATTTGAAGCATGTTAAGATGCAATAATAAAAAAACAATTAGCATTTTAATTAGCTAGACATAGATATTAAATTGATGAAGGAATTATTAATGATGAGACTTTGAAAAAGATTGCAGCAAATCAATACTTGAGTTAATTCTACATAAATTTGGCTAAAGATTTAGAAGTATTAGAGCCTAAGACTCCAGATCAAGTTTATAAGGCTCATTTAGAAGAGAAGAATAAAGAAGCTAATTTTGAATAAATTCAAAAAAACTTAGCAGCTACATATTGCAATGGATTTGTTAATGCAGGATTCAAGAAAGATGCATTGATGGGCAATAAAGAAAATCCATGGTTGAATAATGTGAAAAATGATCATACAGCAATTGCAGCTGTTGCCAGTATTGGGTTAATAAATTTATGGAATATTGATAATGGAACAGAATAAATATCTGAATATTTTGATTTAAGTGATATCTATACAAGAGCAGGTGGTTGTATAGGATTTGGGTTATTTTGTAGTGGAATTGTAGATGAAAATTAACCAGCTTAAGCCATGTTATTAGCATAATTGGAAAGTCCTGAGGTTTAGGTTAAGATTGGAGCTGTTATGGGATTAGGATTAGCTTATGCAGGTTCAGCAAGAGTAGAATTATAAGAGTAATTGATAAGTGTACTTATTGAGACAGCAGATAGTGTTGAATTAGCTGCTATGGCTGCATTATCTTTAGGTTTAATATTTGTTGGTAAATGTAATGATGAAGTTGCAAATGCTATTGTTTAAACAATGTTGGAAAGACCAGAATCATAATTGGATATATCTATTTCAAGATATTTTGCAGTTGGATTAGGATTACTCTATCTTGGTTAGGCTGAAGCAGCAGATATAGTAATTGAATCACTTGCTGTAATTCCTCACAAGATTAGTAAATATGCAAAAGTCACATTAACTTCACTTGCATATGCATCAACAGGAAATGTATTGAAAGTTTAGGAGCTACTTGGTTATTGTTCAGAAGTGACATCTGATGATAAGGGAACTAAGATAGACAAGAATTATGAGCTTCAATAAGTTGCTATTTTAGGAATTGCCTTGATAGCTAGCAGTGAAGATGTTGGTAGTGAAATGGTTTATAGAATCTTTTAACATATATTGTAATTTTCAGATGTGGAAGTCAAGAGAGCAATTCCTTTGGCTGTAGCTTTAATTAATGTATATATAATTTTATATTAATTATTTAGATATCGAATCCTAAGATTTAACCTATGGATTTACTTCTTAAGTTGGCTCATGACAGAGATTAAGAATTATCTTATAGAGCAACATTATCAATGGGTTTATTGGGAGCAGGTACTAATAATTCTAGAATTGCTGATAAATTAAGAGGGTTGGCAGTATATTT